AAGGTCTGTTGTCCCCACACTGAGGTCACCTGTAAATTCTAGGATGCCTTGCCCAAACTTGATGCAGGGGCAGGGGTGTCTTGTTCCTGCCTCACTTAAAGTGCCAGGCTTTGTTGACTCCCCACGAAGGGATTAGGGGAGGCTAGGGGGGAAGAGAGAGGGCAGGAGAGGGGGTGGGAGGGGGTATTCTGGTTGGTATGTAAAATGAATTAAAAAATTAAAAACAAAAAACAGTCCCTTCCTGACTTTCTTCACCAACAGAAGCCGTTCATAATGAAAGGCTTAGTGTTGCAGAACAGATGGCTCAGATCTTGATAATGGATTTTCTTCCATTGTAAAGTCTTCCAAAAGTCTCTAAAAACAAAACAAAAACCTTGTTGGACCTTGAAAGGGGTCATATCTCACCCTAGAGCTGCAGACCATGGTGGGCTGCTGCCCAGCCAGCGGAAAGGCCCAGGCACACCCACAGCCCCACAGGAGCCAAGGAACAAATCCTGGGTGCTGGGTGTCTTTTCCCCAACGTTCCTGGGAAGTGCATCCCTACCATCTCCCTTCCTGTTTCTAGACCCTTCTAGAGGTTCTGGTAAGGAATGTTTGAGTTATCTGTGCCATTCAACCACTCACTGGAGATGAAAATTGGAATAATAATCAGAGCTAATTGGAATAAAACTCAGAGCCAATTGCAATAAAAATCAGAGCTGTTTGGATCCAGGCCTGTGTGAGTGGTAGTCACGTGTCCTCTTATGCAGGCCTGAGCTGGAAGTTTTAAAGTCATGTCAGGGATGTAAGAATCTACAAGTCAATCCCAGCACTTGGGAGGCAGAGGCAGGTGGATCTCTGTGAGTTCAAGACCAGCCTGGTCTACAAAGTGAGTTCCAGGACAGCCTCCAAAGCCACAGAGAAAACCTGTCTCGAAAAACCAAAAAAAAAAAAAAAAAAAAAAAAAAAAAGGAATCTAAAAGTTGCTGGGCGTTGGTGGCACACACCTTTAATCCCAGCACTGGGGAAGCAGAGGCAGGCGGATCTCTGTGAGTTCAAGGCCAGCCTGGTCTACAGAGCAAGTTCCAGGACAGCCTCCAAAACAATACAGGGAAACCCTGTCTTGAAAAAAAAAATCTAAAAGTCATGTGGTCTGACCTCCCTCATTGCCACTGGGAGCTCAGAGCCTCCTCTCCTATATCCTGGTCACCTGCTGGTCCAGGCTGGGAATGTCTTTAATAACAAACCACCCTCTAGGTAAGCCTCTTCCATTGTAGGTCAGCTCTTTCAATACTGAGCTGCAGTCTCCATTTAGCTGTTGCTTCTCTTTCAATGCACAACTTTCAGCCACTTGACATTTACTTTGCCCATCCCCATTGGCCGGTCTCAAAGCTCCCCCAGAAGCCCTGCTGCCGCTCTGCATGCGTTTTGAGAACCTGTGTACAGAAAATCCGCAACCGTTCCGGGAAGCAGAGCATAGTCTTTGAGACTGTAGGATGCTTGGTACAATGTAAGGTAGCAATAAGCATTGTGGAGCAATGGAGAGGAGCGGAAGAAATGAGTGGGAAAGAGGAAGAGGAGGAGAGGGGAAAGGAGGGAGGGAAGGAAGACGGGAGCAAGAAGGGAAGACAGATGACTTTCATTCAACAAGGCTGGTCAGGTCCGGCAAAGTTGTTGCTAAGTGGCTCATCTGCTTCCGTGTTGGTTTGAATAAAAAAGGCTCCCTTAGACTCATAGGGAGTGGCACTATTAGGAGGAGTGGCCTTGTTGGAGTAAGTGTAGCTTTGTTGGAGGAAGTGTGTCACTAGGGGGCAGGCTTTGAGGGCTCATGTGCTCAATCTCTACCCATCGTGGCTCACAGTTGCCTATGGATCAAGCTGTAGAACTCTCAGCTCCTTCTCCAGCACCATGTCTGCCTGCACATGGCTATACTTCCTGCCATGATGATAATGAACTAAACCTCTGAAACTTAAGACAGCCCCAATTAAATGTTTTCCTTTATAAGAATCACTGTGGTCATGGTGTCTCTCCACAACGATAAACCCCTAACTAAGACATTCCCTAAGCTGGGCTGGGCTGGCCAAGACTGGATCTCAGAAGAGCTTTCAGCACCCCTGTTCTTGTCTCCACAGAACCGAGCCCTGGACAGAGAGTGCAGTGCAGAGATGTGCCTAGGGGAGCCTTCAGCTTCCCAGACCCACTGCACACATCATCCTCAGAGTTAGAGCTGGAGCCCAGGGGAGATGCTGAGCTCCTACTGTGGTTCATGAAAGCCGCTGGCAATGGATCTCTGATTCCAGCTGTGGGATATACTACAGAACTCCTCTGCAGACTTTCATGGCACATACAGGAAAACGGGTGCAATAACGACCAGACGGACAACTTGCATTTTAGGCACCAGGACCCATCCATATTCATCATTGTACTTGGGCTCATTATATTAAGACCTGAATGGAAAATGCTCACCAAATGCTCATGTGTTTGGACAGTTGGTCCCCAGTTGGTGGCGCTAGTTTGGGAGGTTATGGCACTTTGGGGATGTTGTAGAACTGAGTTCACTGACATAAACCGTTGGGGGCAGGATTGGAGGGTTATAGCCTAGCTGCACATCTGGCCTGAAAGCTCTGCTTCCAGATCCTCGGATGAGGAGAGGCAGTGGAGTAAGCTCCCACCGACTTGCTGGCCTGCCATTTTAACCTGTGAACCAAAACAGAGACTACTTTCTTTAAGAGGTTCTGCTAAGAACTTTGTCACAGAGACAGGCAGACAGACAGAGAGGGAGGGAGGCAGGAAAGGGAGGTAACCAATACACATTGAGACCTTTATTTTTCTCCATGTTGGCATACGCACAAACTAAAGATCCAAGAGGCTTGCCCAAAGTCAATCTCAGTATCATGCAGGGGGCTGGAGAGAGACCCATGGCTTAGAACATTGATTGCTTTTCAAGAGGACCCTAGTTCAATTCCCAAAACCCACACAGTGACTCTTAAACCATTCATAACTCTAATTCTAGGGGATCCAACGATGCCCTCTTCTGACCACTGAGGGTGCCAAGCACGCACATGGTGCACATACTTAGAAACAGGTAAAAGAGCCACATACATAAAAATCTTTAAAATTATGTCATGCAGGGAGCATTATGTTAGTTAAATGATGTCACAGACAGACTCTATCTCATCCATTCATCTCCTCTCTCCTCTCCCCCACGGGATGGGAACTGAGGACAAGAGAATTGGCTAAGGGAGCAGCCCAAGGTCACACAGCCAGCAAATGACAGTCTCCGAATTCCTGGTTGCTCAGGCTGGCACACTGACACTTGGGGCACTTGATTTCTACGGGGAGGTTTCCTCCCACACAAATGAAATGCCCTGTTTAGATAACACAAATAATCTGTGTGGAAAGTCTGTTCTGGTGCTAACTCCTCAGTCTGTAGAGCTCTGTAACACAAAGCCTTTCTCAGACACCAGATAGAAGCCATGAAAACATCTCCCATTGTCTTCTCAGTGCTGAGCTGCTAAGCAGAAAGCTGATGTGCCAACAAAGATTGGCCCCCAGCACCACATCTATATGAAAGAACAAACGCTTCATTTGAAGAAAGAAAGAGAAGCACTGCAAACAGAATACAAAATTACATGCTCACTGTGATTACTGCCGAGTTAAATCGCACAGGCATGGAGACAAAGACTAGGGGGGGAAAATAAAAACTTAAATCAGTTCTAGTCAACAGGATGGTTTGCCTTTCTTAAGAATGTGTTTAAGGCTTTCATCACATTTGTGCCATAACAAAAAGTGAATCTGAAATACAAAAGATCTCCATGAAGTTCTAGTCACCTAAAATGCAGCATCACTGGTCTCAGAAGTGTCGCTGTTTGGTTGAGCATGTTTGACCTTGACCAGTCCTGGTCACCATAGAGATAAGCAGGTGGGGGGGTGGGAAGGGCAACACTGTCATTCCACCCTGCAGTTTCGCTGTTACTATATTCTGTAGCATTTTAAGGACAGTGCCCCCAGCATCTCCTATGTTGTGTGGCTCCTCTGCAAGTTGGCTGAGTTCACCGAGTATATCCTGGGCCCTAGGGTGAGAAAGAGAAAAAGCAGACAGGTCCTATCTGTGGGAGTTTCCCACTCATCTCTAGGACTCCTCACTTGACCCTACAAGAGAAAGGATCCCATATTGCGACGCCTTCCCTGAAGTTCTCTCCTGGGCCCAGCATCAGGATGATGCCAGGTACCCAGCAGGCTCTCTGCATACGATTAGTGCACAGATTTCAATGTACCTTACAGCTAATTCCACGAGCGGTTTCGTCACCTTGGGCAAGTCTCTGTATGCACACTCCTCCGGCCCCTTCTCATTGCTGCATACGAAGCTGTTGAGGACACAGTTGAATCTCATTTTTCTAGGACCACATCCAACACTCAAAGAGCCCTTTCTGCAGCTCCACTGGGATCTGCTGAGTTCTCTCAACATTACTCATCCCTGAGATGCTGGGCTCTAATGCCAGCTCCCGTGGACTTCTGAGACACCACACCACATTGGGGAAACTGTCGGAGTCATTGCAGGATTTGTGCCATGATTCCAAATCCCTTCTGTCTTGCTTCTCTTTATCCGTGCTCCTGTTCAGTTTCATACTTCAGTTCCCTCATCGGTGAACCAGAGGGCGAGAAGAGACTAGCTCAGAGACTCAGGAAGGGACACCTTCCCGGAATACAGTCAGGTGAGCAGCTGGCTAGTGGGGAGCCTCTTTCAGAGGGAGGTACCAATGTGTATATCCTTCTGTCTGCCACTCTACTTTGTGTGTGTGTGTGTGTGTGTGTGTGTGTGTGTGTGTGTGTGTGTGTTAGAAGGCAAACAGCAAACTAAGACTTAAATCTCTCCATGATGAAAAATAAGGTCAGAGTGTATCTCCTAAGTCCTTTTCAAGTCTTCCTGAGTAACCCTCAAGCTCCTCTCCTCCCTGTCTCCCCTTCCGTCCTCCCTTTCTCTTTCTTTCCTTCCCATGAGATACACAGGGCTACTAGTGTGAGGCACCTATCTTTTATTCTTTCCTCTTGGTAAGGTTTGTATATAAAATGTCCCCCTAAAGACTCCCGTTTTGGAAGCTTGGTCCTCGGATAGTAGATTCAGCCATTGCGAGGCAGAGAACATGGAGGCCACTAACTGAATCAATGTGTTCACCCAACAGTGAATTCACGATGAGTGGGCTGTTGGGAGGTAAGTTCGGTTGGAGGAGTGGATCACTGGAGGAGTTCGTCTTTGAAGGGTATGTCCCACCTTGGCTCCTCCTGGTTTCTCTTCCTTGCTGCTTCCTGGCCGCCATGGGATAGCCATCTGAACACTGCAGCCTCCTTTCCACCATGATGCTCTGCCCACTGCAACAAGGCCAAATAACCATGGGAGCCAAAAGTCAAAAGAAGCTGTTGTGAGTCTTTCTAGTCAGGATCTCCAGCCCCCAAATAATTAATTACACAGAGACTTATTATTGGTTATGAAAGCTTGGCCTTAGCTTAAGCTTGTCCTACTAGCTCTTATGAGTTAAATTAACCTGTTTTTATTAATATGCATTCTGCCACGTGGCTTTTTTTTACCTCTCATTTATTCTATATGTCCAACTTCATCCTTGTCTCACTGGTGACTCTAGCCTGCCTCAGAACCTTCTCCAGTTCCTCTATCTCCCCAAAATTCCCGCCTATTCTCTCCTGCCCAGCTATTGGCCATTCAGCTTTTTATTAAACCAATCAGAAGATACCTTGACAAAGACACATCTTCACAGTGTCCAAAAAGATTATCCCACAGCAAGAAGTCTCCTCTAAAGTTGTTCTCCTCAAAACGTTGATAAACACACTGCTGGATTGTATTGTCACTTTATAAAGGACAAAGGTCATGTTTGACTTCCCTATATTCCCTGGCATAGAGCCTGGCACTGGCCACTTAGTAAACAGTAAGTGCTCAGTGTTTGCTGACTGTATTGAGCTTCTACATTGAGCCCTGCCCTGTGCTCCTGAAGATGGGAGGATAGAAATATGGATGGGTGGATAGATTGATGGGAGAATGAATGGGTGGAAGGATGAGTGGGCCAATGGAAGGATGAGTGGATGGATGGATGGATGGATGGATGGATAGAAAGATGGATGGATAGATGGATTGGATAGACTGATGGAAGAATGGGTGGGTAGAAGGATGAATGGAAGAATGAGTAGATGATTGGATGGATAAATGAATGAATGGATAAATGGATGGAAAGATGGATGAATGGATAGATGGATGGGAGGTTGGATGGATTAATCGAAGGAAGGAAGGATGGATGACTGGAAGGGTAGAAAGATGGATAATAAGCCAAGAGGAGGCTGTGGCTTCCGGTGGACGACAGCAGACAGACAGACCAGGCAGCAGGTGGGAACCTGACCTTGGTTGTCATCCTGTTGTCAGAACTCAATAAGAAACCAGAGGACAAAGGGCCTGTGGACGTGGTTATTAGGGAACAGCCTCCTGGGATTCGGGTGGGGTAAAGAAGATGAAAATGGTCCAAAAAGGGCACAGCCCCTGTCCTCGGACAGGAGTTTGTGAGTTGCACATGGCAAAGCCGACACTTTAAAAGAAAAAATCCGAATGCACCCACAAAAACAGTGCAGGGAGTATCAGTGTCTGTGTGACTCTGGAATGCGAGTATTCCCACTGGGGCCAAAGCTGCAGCTTACTGTGGGGAGGGTGCGGAAGAGGGCCCGGGGGGGGGGGCTGTTTCTCCCCGTACCAGTCTTTCTCCCTTTGGGGACCTGGACTTCCTGGATTTCTGGGAAATGGCACAGAAAGGAGGAAAGGAGGCCATAGTGAGGCTGTTCACTCTGCTCTGGGTCTGAGCTGGGAGCTGGCTGGGATGACCTCAGTGATTTCTCCACTCCTCCTCTAACAATCTCTGGTCTAGCTTCTCTGTCAGTAGTGTTAGGATTAATGCCACTTGGGTTGGGACCACAGGTGGTGGGTCCCAGTCCCCGCTGGGACCACGAGGATCACGGTCCCAAGGCAGGTGATGGATGGTGGGTGGATGGGGAAACAGAGACCTGTAGAGTCCTCCTATTGAAAGTTTTATTGAGGGAGAGGTAAAGTTCTGGCTACCCCAGGGTAACAGCCAGAAAAGAGGGTGTAAATGGGCAGGGTCTTTCTTTTAAAAAGGTCCTTTTCAGCTGTGTGAGACTAGCACTCACAGAACCATGGGCTGACCAGGGTACTGCCTGAGTGCATTCTGTTAGGTGACGGGGCAGGCCAGCATAATGCCTGAGTCCTTACAAGCAGCTTAATCCCTAGATCACATGTGCACACATGTGCACACATGCATAGACACATGTCCACACATGAGCATCTAATTTTCCCCTCACTGATTCACAATAAGTTTAAGATTAGATATCCTTGTTTTTTGTTTTGTTTTTGGTTGGTTGGTTTTGGTTTTTTGGAAGTAGGGTTTCTCTGTGTAGCCCTGGCTGTCCTGGAACTCTCTCTGTAGACCATGCTGGCCTCGAACTCGGAGATTCACCTGCCTCTGCCCACCGAGTGCTGGCATCAAAGGCATGAGCCACCACTACCAGGCACAGAAAGACTAAAGAATTTCCCTGAGGTCACTCATGCTCTTAACTATTCTTACACATGCGCATATAGCATACTAATATATTCAGATTTACCTAATATACCAAATACCATACAAACAAGTATTTACCAGTCTGCATGCAAATGTTTGTTTAACGAATAAATGAAATACATGAATAAAAGCTGAGGAACTAGACATAAGAGTGCACAGGTGCTAGAGAGATAAAAATTGTCCAGAGTCTGCCTCCTGCTGGCTCCCTGGGATGGGATGCAGCACTCTGGGGGTGTGGAGAATGGGTGGCTGGGGGCTGTTCCTGTCAACTCAGTTCTGCTGAGGCATTTTCTGGGTAAGGCTTCACTCAGAGAGACGATTCTTTACTCATCAAAATGTATGAAAGCCAGAGACCGCAAACAGACTCTGATCCCACTTCCTGCTCAGAAAAACTGTGATCTGGCTGGCAGCCGGCTGTCCTCCTGTCATCAAGGGCACTATCTAAAGCAACTAGTCACTGTCACCCTTCCAGCTACCTCAAACCACCCTCATCAACAGTCACACAGTTCCCAAAGTAACTTCAACTCAAAATACACCAGAAGGATCCCTGGCCCAGTACCATTTCCCAAGCCCAGAACACTTGAGTACGTGGAAGAGCAGGTACCTGGTGTCTGAGGGCACTCAGATGTGGAGAGGACAAGGGAAGACAAAGCTCTCCTGGGCCCTGCCAAGCCATTGCCAATGTTTATCCTGTGTTTGCCAAGTTCCAGGACAACACTAAACACCTCAAAGGTGTTAGCTCATTTTCTCTTGGCAGGAGCCCTGGGAGGCTAGTCTACTCTCCAGGTGAGGACATCGAGGTGTGGAAGGAGTGGCTGCTGACTCACCCAGGGCTGTGGGTGAAGTTTGCGATGGGGTCGGGGCTACAGCTTCCATCTGGCCCTCATCCCACAGGCGGGCATGGGGCCCTGGACAAGCCACCGGGAGGTAACCATCTGCAGTCGTTTGCCCAACTCTGAGAAGTCTGGTGTGCCTTGAGTGTGGAGGGTCAGAAGGTTAGCTTTCCCTAAGTTCTCATGGAAGCTGTGCAGGCCTCCAAGGCACTCAGGGAATCTAGTACGTGTGTTCCATTCCTGGTACAGGGGCTACGCTATACTGACGGCCAAAAGGCTCAGGAGCCAGTTAGAGCAGCTTGTACTTAAAGTCGCTGTACCCAACAGGCAGTTCAAGGTTAGCCTGAGCTACGCAGCAATATTCTATCAATACACAACCAACAAGCCAAAAGTCAGGGGTCTGGAGAGATGGCTCAGTGGTTAAGACCACTGGCTGCTCTTCCAGAGGACACAGGTTCAACTCCCAGCACTCCCATGGCAGCCCACAGCTTTCTGTAACTCCAGTTAGTTCCAGGGACCCAACACCAATGGACATAAAATAAAAATAAATAATTTTAAAAAACCATACCAATGGTTCTGCAAGGGAGGCGACCGTATGAAGGACACATAACTAGAAGCAGGCAGAGTTGAGATGGGAGCCTTATCAGTCTGACCCCAAGCCTGGGAGTGACCCATAAACCACATACACATCTAGGGCCCTGGGGTGCATGTCTGGGTCCCATTCCAAGCATCCTGCACAGTGGGTAAAGAGTCTACCTGCAGACTCCCTTTTCCTGATTATAAAGATAGGTGCCCTGGGGTGACGGGAGAGGGGTGAGGCAGGAAGATACAGTCACAATATTGGTCCTGAAGCTGGTACCTGGAGACCACTTGCTCAAGTTTCAGCCACCCTGCCCTTACATCTGATGATGCACATTGCATCTAGTCACAAGGCCCAGAACTTTGCAAGACAGCCATTGGTGCAGTAGACTGGTCCACCAGCTAGCCCCTAGGATGCATGCACCTGTCTGCCCCTCCAATACTACAGATATTCACTTCCCTGGCTGGCTTTTTTTACATGGCATCACTTTACCTGCAGAGTCACCTCCCCAGCCCCCATCGAGCATAGTCTTTAACCTGCCAATATTGCTGTCTCTGCAGTTGAGATCAGCTGCTGCCTGCCAAGAATGTTGATGGGAATCAATGGCATCCGAGGGTGACTTTGAGAGAGAACAGGAGGGGGCCTGAAACGGTTTGCTCAGTGACAGTGACATCAGGGAAAGGTCAATACTCTGCAGACGAATCGCTTGCTTTGAGAATTCTGCCTGTGTGTGTAATAGAAACTTGCTTGACATCTCATGGATACTCCCTGGTTTTCTGAATTTTGCTAGAGAGTCTGAATTCTTTGTCCTGAGTGTCATGACCCACTTTAGTTGTAACTGACCAAGAGATGGTTTCTCTCCTGCATACACAGTGTTAGAACCAGAGCAGAACTCAGTCCTGGCAAGATTGCAGATCAGACTTTAACCCTCTGCTCTGCCACTAACCCACTAGGGACCCTCTGATTCCCTATTTATCTGATCTTTGCAGCTCTCTAATAAGTCCAAGCTGGCACTGAAGTCACTAAGCATTCCAGGCTGGTCCTAAATTCATAGTGATCCTGACCTCAGTATCCCAAGGGCTGGGACTATAGGCATGAGCAGCCATGAGCAGGCAAATGGAAAGTTGTAAAGAGGGGGCTTAAAAGTAGGTCCTTGGCCGGGCGTTGGTGGCGCACGCCTTTAATCCCAGCACTCGGGAGGCAGAGGCAGGTGGATCTCTGTGAGTTCGAGGCCAGCCTGGTCTACAAAGTGAGTTCCAGGACAGCCCCCAAAGCCACAGAGAAACCCTTGAAAAAAAAAAAAAAAGGTAGGTCTTTGGTGGTGACAAC